AGAAAGTTTGCTGGAAGACATGAGGTGCTTGAAGAACGATATGCGCCTGAATTCAACTTGACATTTGTTCTGATGAGCAAAGGATTCAATGATGAATACGTTCAAACGTTTGTGAAACATTTGCTTGAAGGCATTGACCGTCAGTCTGTGGTCACACGCCTCATTTGCTATGTTGCACTGCTGAACACTTATGTCCAAAACTCCTTCATCTCTCAGTCCCATTGTCAAGCTTTGCTTTCCTTAACCATTCTCTTGGAAAGGTTTCGCCAGCATGAGTTTGAGAAATCACTCGGTGATCAGGCTAAACTCGTCTTCTTGCATCTTAAAGATGAGAAGACACACATTGAATCAATCAGAATCATTCATCCACTGGTTGCAAAGGAAATTCTCCATCAACTTTTGGAGAACCAACAGACCCAAAGCAGTTTAGCAATGGATTTGCTCCATGAGAATGTGCTTTTTGAGCACAGATTTGGAAGGGTTGAATATCAGTTGTTTTTGAAAGCTCTTTTCTTAAAGCGAGCCAGAATAAGCAAAGGGGATACATCTGATAGTTTGTTTGCTCCTCTGATTGAGCATGTTTGTGAAAAGGAGAAAAGCCCAGACAAAGCAATTGAGTTACTCACAGAAGCATTCGATCGTTTCGGTCAAGATCCACTCTTTGCACAACAACTTGCTCGTCTTCATTATACTTATGAAAAGTTTGAAGAGGCAAAACAGTGGGCGGAGACAGCAGCCAAAGAGCTGCCAAACAACTCCTACATACTCGACACAAAGGGGCAGGTGTACAAAAGATGGTTCCAAGCAAAATGCAAAGCTATTGACAATAAACCAAAGACAGCAGAACAAATAGCAGATGCTGTGGAGACTGCACTGAAGGCTGTGAAGTGTTTTCAAGAGTGTGAAAAAGCAGCTGATGCTGATAAGGGTACCAATAACAGCTCAGGGTATGTTTCTGAAGTTGAGGTTGCATGCAGCTTGCTCAAACTGATATCTTCTTCGCTAGTGTTTTCAAACCAAGCAAGTGGCCATTCAGAGTGTATGAAGTACCTGTTAACAGATTACATTCCTGAGGAAGTTGAAGATGCATGGCAACCCTTTCATGTCAGTTTAAAACAACTTCACAAGACAACACAAGATGCCTTGCAATGGATCTCAGAAGACCTCAGTTACTTCCAGACGGGCATAGATTTAGATGGAGAAGAGACCCCTGAATGTCATGAGGGGATGAGAAGTCATCCACTGAAATGGTTGGCAAAAAAATCTTCAGAGTTTGGAAAGTACTTCAGTGAAGCTGATTTGACTGCACTTCACATGCAATCAATCCCTGCCAATCTAACTTCTTTCCAAAAACGCATGATCATCTGTCAGCTTGGTGGGGGTAACATAACATCCGTCCTCTCCAAGCTAACTGACCAGAGGGAGGCAGTACCTCTTCTAGAGAAAATAGTTTCTCTCTACCCCAGCGATCCAATAAAAGCCAAATTCGGTCAAATTGATATTGTCAATTACATCACGGCCCACATCACTCTGAACTGCCTGTCACTGCAGACCCAAAATGTGGCTCCTCTGAAAGATCTGCAGGCACTTTGTCATCAGTTCCCAAAAGATAAAAGGAAATGTTTACCAAGTGCACTGTTCTTGCTTACATTGCTGTTCTGGCCAGAGGATCATGACACAGATGTGGAGAAAGAAACTAAATATGAGATTGTTCAATCAGCTGTTGAACACCTGGAAAAAGTGTACTGGATCAAGATGAAGGACATTCTTCAGCGAAAGAGAAGGCTTTACACCCATTTTTTTCTTGGCAGTGGGAATGGATTGGATAAATTTGTCCACAAGAAAAAGGTTGAAAGTGTCACAGAGCTGTTCTCTGTGTCTGAAAAACGCATGAAGTGGTTCAGGGGTGAGGCATGGAAAAACCCTGAGATTGCCACAATGCTGAAACGTGTTTCCGGATGGACTGAAGATGGAGTGGTGTACCTCGACGGCCCACGGAAAAAGAAGTTCAGTATCCTGCCTCTTCATGTTCCTTCAGTGCCTCACAGTAATGAAAACATCACATTCTACCTGGGGTTTACCTTCCGAGGCCCTGTTGCCTGCAATATTCTTGTGCAACAATAATTTGTCAATAAACAATAATCCTGTCATATACGGCTTGACAGTATATTGCTAAAGCATTTGGCCGAGTATCTTATCTATTCAAACACAACAAGGCTCTTACCATAGTTTGCCAAGTAGGCAATATTTGTCAAAGACAACAATTAAACTGTCAAAGGGCAAGGTACATTATTATCAATGGATTTTTTTATTTTCTAAGAAAGTTTAATAATTATTTTTTCTCTCTTATACTTGAGAGAGAACATGTACTACAAAATATGCTCAAGTGGCATTTGATAAAAACGATTTTGTATATGTATGAACATTGACTATGCCATGATTGACTCTGGACTCCTGGGGTAATAACAATGCAAACTGTTTTTGCTACTCTACAGCTCAATGCTTCACTAATGGGAACCTGTGGTGGTCCCTGTGTAGACCTGTATCTAGTATCCCATTATTTTCAGATTGTTTGTAGTTCCAGAACTGCAATTCACAACTGGCATCAATATGTATATCGAATGCCTCTCAAGTGAGGATGTGTGCCTGGATTCAGCTAATTTTATTGCTGCTAGACAGAAAAAAGTTGAATTTCTGTTCAAAGTGCGAACCTTTCCTCAACATCTTGGCTTCTTTATCATGATGGCTTATACTCGCTCTTTTATATTTTTCAGAATACAACCCAGAAAGGGATTAAATGTAACTACTCTACTCTAATGGGAATTGTATCAGTGTTTTAACAAATCATGTATAAACGGCAGGATTTGTATGGTTAGAAAATAATGTGTACTAATATATACTAACAGAAACACATGTAAAAATCCTACCTATCCTTAAAATGTCCTACAAATGAAGCAAGTCCGGCAAGAGCGCATACCTGTACTTTTTTCCTATATTTTTATATATATTTTTATTTTCTTGTATTAAAAGCGTTGTAGCCGAAAGCGCCTACCTGTACTTATATTGAAATTGATTTTTTTGTTTGTTTTTTGCATGAAATGCTTGGTTTATGATACTGAAGAAACATTTAGCTGAATACAATAAACGTTTTAACCTTCATTTTTGTTTTTGCAATCAATCTTTGAACAACCTTTAAATATCAGACTGATAGTCTTTAACAAGATATTGATTTACAGTGCGCCAACTGGCAGATTTTATAAGACAGAATTGTAAGGCCCTATTCACACAAATTTACACTTAATATGAAGAGATTGGACTACTCATTTTCACACTGTCCTAAGAACTTGAATATTTTTGGCAACTGCTGCATAGTGTGGAGATAATAATAACAAACACGAATAACTCTAGAAAGGGACAAAATGACAACTCTGAAATGTTAACAGTTAAATTAGTTTATATTTTTTCAGTATGGTTGAACCAAAGTTAGTTGGCCATAATTGCCAGAGCTTGATTTTGTTTAATTCAGAGTGTTGTCTGTTCATCCCTTCATTGTGATATTAGTTATGTTGGAGTTAAACTACGTGGCTTTCAAATCTTTAAAATAATCTGAAACCAAAATGGCTCCCTGATGTTGTAGTATTCTGAACTAGTAGACCCGTCTTTGGGACAAATGTGTCAGTCAGTACAGAATAAATACATTAGCAATCGGATGAGTATAAAAACAAAATAATTTGTTAGATATTTCACAACTAAATGTGAGTGACTTGTTAGGATATAATAAAAAAATGTCAATGTTATTGGGTGTGATTTCAGTAATAAACAGCAAGTCATGGGGTTGTCTATGTAATTGTATTTGACTGCATGGTTACCAGATTTTTGTCACATCAAGTGTTTTTGGTTCATCAAACAGTTTTATGAATGACTAAAGGCACATTTTATTTCCGTTTTTATAAGAATCAAATTATTTAAAAAAAGTAGGGCTAAATTATAAAGTTGATTCAGACAGCATTTTTTTTGATTGATTCAACAACACAAAACAACCAAAATAATAATGAAAATCTACCTACATTAATGTTTTCACTTAATTCAAATAACTATAATAGCTTTTGTTGTTTTAGCCTATGCATGTTCTTTCCATTTTTTAAACGTTTTTGTTTTATGTCGCTTTTGTTAATTCACATAAAGATAAAAGCGAAAAAAGTTTCTAGCAGCAGAAGTTTTGTCACTTTTTGTCCTTCTATGCTCGCCGTAGTTGTATTGTAGCTGTGTTTACTCTTCTCCAAACATGTTATTTCATTGTAACCAAATAATTTCACTAAAATACTGCTTGTCCGCTGTCTTGAAAGACAACATGTTTTTGCTACAGGACGCGCATGCAGTTTGCTGGGAAGCACATGCTTAATATTAATAGCTCCGACACTGAACTGCTCGATAGATAATTGTTAGCTCACAGCTAACAAATCCAGCTGCTAACAGAGCCAATGAGCAACAGCTCAACGCCCACAAAATGAACACAACTGTGAGTGTAAGTGATTATCGTTAAGCTATAAATTCATGACAGCTGTCTGTGATAGTTACAACTTACTCTACTATTAAATATTTACCAGTGGTGCAAAGTGACTGAGTAGATTTACTCAAGTTCTGTACTTCAGTACAATGTTGAGGTTCTTGTACTTTAAATGATTTGCTACTTTTTGTTTCTACCCCACTACAATTCAGAGTCAAATCTTGTACTTTTACTTCACTAGATTAATTTAATGCATCAATAATTATAATCAAAACATATGATTTATATTATTCTGAAATGGGCCAATCTGTTTAATGAGTACTTTTACTTTCTGTACTTTAAGTTTATTTTACTTTTACTGAAATTATATTTTGAATGCAGGACTTTTACTTGTAACAGAGTATTCCTACACCCTGGTACTTCTACTTTTACTTAAGTATAAGATCTAAATACTTTTCCCACCTCTGTTATTTACACCATACGGAGCACAAGGTGTGTATAAGTGGAGATCCCCTTGAGTGCACTGTCGCCTCACATCTCTGATGAGTATGGGTCTGCTGTCTCACTTTACTGCAGCTGTGCTCCTGCTGCTCTTTGCCTTTTTATGTTTTTACATCAACCACTTGTCTATTCATCAGAACAGACTGGTTATATCAGTTTCTGCTCAGCACACTAAAGCACATACAATACTTGGTTATTATTATCCAGCAAAACCACAGAACAAGTCAGTAGAAACAAGGACTGTTATATCCAGAGCTGATAAATGCACCCTGGCCCCAGAGAGTCGGTTTGACTGTGCCAGGGACAGGCTGCTCACCCAGAGAGAGTGTGGAGAGAGGGGCTGCTGCTATGCCCCCCTGCCTCACTCTGCAGGACCACCTTGGTGCTTCTACCCCAGTTTGTACCCTGGCTACAAAATGGGTCCTCTCACCCCCACCACACGAGGACTGGAGGCCACCCTGACTCGTGCCACCCCTTCATATCTCCCCAAAGACATTGCCACTCTACACCTAGAAGTGACAGAGGAGGCTGCAGGCTGCTTACACCTCACTGTGAGTACCCAATGTCCATGTAAAACATATGATGATGGACATGCTGCAGTGCCCACTAGGGTTGATTTACATCTTAAGTATAGATGACTGTAGGCTAATGTAGTTTGAGTTTAAAAAGGCAACATGGAAAGGGGTTTTACTTTTCATTTGCATTACACATATGGTTATGATTTAACAGAGTTGATTTTCCATGAAATGTCTCACCAAAACCCTTAAAAATGGTTGTGTTCAGATATAAAAAAATAGGTATGGTTGTTTAATTTTGTATCTGTTTACATTTGCTCACATTGTCTAAAAAGTCTGGAAAAGAAAGTGAAATAGACTCTGTACCACCCGGACTTCTCTAGTATTATGTAGTGCATTCATTTGTGAGTAATTTGTTGCAGACAAATAAGGTCTGATTGTGAACAATTTTTTATATAGTATTTTATATATACTTTTTGTATTCTTTGTTTTTGAATTGCGTTGTTTAAAAATCACTCTGAATCTGGCTTACATGAATAGGTTTTGTGTTATATGCCAAGATAGGCTGGTTATAACGGGTGAGTCCATAATAACCTTTATTGATTTATTAATATGTATGAGGTCAAGGGATTAGACCCTCTACAATTCTGCCTTGGAAAAAACTGAAATTATATTTGTTTTCTCACAAGTTTAAGGACCCATCATCTCAGCGATATGAGGTTAAGCTCCCAGCTGGTGTTCCTCAGAGCCCAGCTGATACCCAGGATGTTCTCTATACCACTGAATACCAGGCGGAGCCATTTGGCTTCATAGTGCGCCGGAAATCTAATGGAAGGGTGATGTGAGTATCTCTGTTCTGTTTTAATATTTTTGCATTTTATAGCTGCCGTCATAGAAACCGTCTATAAAGCCTTACTAATCATTAATATAAAGATCCTACTTACTCACACTTAGTCATATTATACCTTTTCCCAACATTATAGTCATATTTTCTACATGTAGTGTGAGCACTTCCTTATAGTCTAGCAGCAAGTCCTCAAAAAAGGCTTTAGTTTTCGAGATACCCCTACCCGAGGTAGAACAAAACACAACAATGATTTTTCTTATCTTTAGGGTCTCCCATTAATGAAATTGATTGTTGTCAAATTTTATTTTGGGGACATTTTTTTATTTGGGTTGTTCTCTCTGTGAAAGGTGACAAAAAAGCCCATAACTTGAGAATCATCACTCTTTTCCTCTTCAGATTTGTTGAGGTATGAACCAGGTGGCTGTCCTACATCACCAAATAGTCAGACAATTACCTTCCTAAAACAATACTGAATTATAGTCCTGTAAACTTAGCTTTAGTTTAGACGAAAATTGTACTTTTTGGTGATAGTGATCACTTTTCTCTCATTTATCAGAAAAACATTAATCCCTAAAAAATATACCATTACTGAATTGTCTAGGGTGCTATTGAACACTAACCAGTAGTTGTATGGAAATATCTGGTACAGTTCTATTGTAAATTAGATTTCTTTAGACATAGGCCTACCTCTTCTCTGATACAGTCAAATTCCAAGTGAGGGATAAGTGGCATAATAGCCTACGTTAAGAATGCTCACTCTGATGGTCATTATATTTGGAGAGGGAAATACCAGGTGGCTGAACTACATCACCAAATAGTCAGAATAAGAGTAACCCAATAAAATAAAGTGTATTAGTTCCCTAAAACATAAATAGTACAGGTGGTATTGAAACATTGAACCTTAATTCAAAGTACAGTATACAAATCATCAAATAATTCTGTGAGAGGTCAGAAACGTTAGGGGAAACATTTTGACATTCTGCACAGCAGGTGCAGGGGAAGGCCAACAGAGAGGCACTGGCACTTTCCACTTTCTCCACACTTTGCATCTTTGCAATACAAGTGAGTAATGTCTCTCACTTCTGTAGGTGCTGGGGGTTTTGTAAATAGCACTGGTTGAATGGCCCCATCTCTGACAATCCACCCCTTGCCAACAGGACTCCATAACAAGGGTTTGGGTTCGGGCTGTGACACCATATCGCTGTCTGAAACATTGCTCTTTGTACATGTTGTTGAAATGCATCCTGTTGGCGGGAGATTTTCCGAGGGTGCATCTGTTGTTGATGCAATCATGAACCTCAGTTCATCCAAGTTTGTGCACATCAGTCCATTTTCCTTTTTCTTTTTTCCATATAGTAGAAGCGCAAATTCTCTTGCGACTGGCAAAGACTCTTCCAAGCTGGCAGAGAGTCCAAAATGGGCCAGATCTTTGAGCTCGCTGAGGGGTCTTGAGTTTGGTGAATGCTGTTGTCTTTCCTATTCTGTACAAACTACTTGTTGTGCCACAGCCAGTGAGTGCATGACATGCTGGTAGACAGTTAGACATGTCTTTTCCAATTTTCTCACTTATGGTGTTGATGGGGACATATCTCTCTCTCATTCCATGGCCTGCATGCATGTGCACTAGAGATGAACTAAACATGTATTTGCTTGCATAATATATGAGCAGTACTTCCACATCTGTGTCATCAGACCTCACAATGATGCGGGAATATGACTCTGCAAGATGTATGGCATGGAGCACCATCCTTGTGTCTGCCTCCTCCTGACAGTGATGTCAAACTGCTGACTCCTGCTGTGCAGATGCTCTTCACCTCCTCCCCTTCTAATGTCTCTCTTGACAACAATCAAGTTCATTAATGGGAGACCCTAAAGATAAGAAAAATCATTGTTGTGTTTTGTTCTACCTCGGGTAGGGGTATCTCAAAATCTGAGGGTCCTTCCTGCTAGACTATTATACATTTCAGTAAATATCGTTTTTTTTATTTTACATTATTTAAGTATATTTATCTAAGTCTGTGTTTTCTATCATTTGTAACAAAGGAACACAGTGCGCTTTCATTAGTGTGTTGCGCCCTATGTTGTACTTTGCTGATGTTGAACTATATATTAACTATTTGTTTCCATTAGATTGTAACGATATACCTAATAGTGACCAGAGAGTGTATTCATTTCCACTATTTATATTGAGAGCCTGGGTCACAGAGGGTTCTTTTATCTCATGTAGTCTTATCACTAATGGGTAACACAACTGCACAAAATGAGCAGCGAGGTGTTTTCCCTAATCAAGATTTTCATGTAGTGCATGTGTGTTTGTTCTCTGTGTCCCGCCTGTCCAGCATGAATACCACGGTGGCTCCTCTGCTGTTTGCTGACCAGTACCTGCAGCTGTCCACCACGCTGGCCTCTTCCCTTGTGTCCGGCCTCGGGGAGCATTACACCCCCCTCCTCCTGGACCTGAACTGGACCTCTGTCACTCTCTGGAACAGAGACATGGCGCCCCACGTGAGTCTTTTGCAGTGGTTCAAAACACAAGTCTGAAGGGGTCAAGAGAAGAAAAAGCAACTTCTGAAACAGGAAAATAATATATTTCTTCTTTGTTTATTTTTCTCTAATGATGGTGAAATGGAAAGTTTACCCTCTTCCAGCACAAATACGGCCCGGGGGCCAAATGTGGCCCGCGGACCATTTTCAATTGGCCCTCAGCAAATTCAAAAAGTATAATAGAATATGGCCCACAAATGAAACTTGTGCTTGTCTTATATTGTACTTCTTAAATATAAATGTAAAAATATATTATATACTGTTATATAACACAGTAGTATTCATGTGTTGATAAGAAAAAAGCCCAATGACTTATTTACATAACAAGCTTGAACACCCTTCCTATTTCTCCTTATTATAATCAATCTGAGGCCTATGTTTTAAGGGATGAGCTGCCAACACTCACAAGCATAATTTACCTACATTTGATTGATTTTGCGGTACCACTTTACACTAAGACTACCCTAATAAAGGATTCATAAATGGTTTATAATTAGGTTATGAATTAGGTTATAAACACTTTATTAATCATTAAGAACCATTTATAAACCAGTTCTAACATAGTTTCCATACATCAACACAGGCTCACTATTTAGCAAGATGACTAAGCCTTATATTGGCTACTTAGCGAGAATCAACTCAGTGAACAACAGATACCAAGGATGCTGGCTGATGAAGAAGACGAAGTAAGCTCAGTAGCCAATATAAGGCTTAGCAGTACAGATGCATGTGGGCTCACTATTTGGCAAGCAACCGGTCACAGTTGCCCTGTTTATCTCATGTCTTATAAAAGCTTATTAATGATTTATAAAGTGTTCACAACCTAATTAATAAATGAATAACAAACTATTCGTAAACCCTTTATAAGGGTAGTCTTCTTGTACCGATTTTGCTAACTTATCACTGAACTTATGAGGCAATATACCTCTCGTGAGTGGCCCGCCCTCGGTGAAAAAAGTTTGGACACCCCTGTTGTAGAGGGTCAAGCTTTTGTCATTTACTCCCTCTTTGTCTGTTGTGTGATCAAGTTGTTAATGTTGACACTTGTCTTCTCTACAGGCTGATGCTAACCTCTATGGCTCCCACCCATTCTACATAGTCCAGGAGGATGATGGCTTGGCACATGGAGCTTTCCTTCTCAACAGCAATGCAATCGGTACCTATCTGAATGTTCATGTTCCACGGCCACTTTTGTATCCATACCAAACAATTCAGGAATATTTATTATTGCTGAATATCTTTCCAAATGTCTCTGCAGAGGTGATGTTGCAGCCGACCCCCGCTCTCACCTGGGTGGCTATCGGTGGAGTCCTGGACCTGTACATTTTTGTGGGTCCTGATCCTCAAAGTGTTATACGACAGTACCTTCAGGTCATTGGTACGTCTTTACAGTGTTCACATTCAGAAACACATCTTCAGGTGGCAGAAATAGGTGTATACACACACCAGCAAGATATATGTGTAGATGTAGGCAACTTAATGTGTTTACCTGTCACCATGTATCTATCACCAGGCTATCCTATGATGCCTCCTTATTGGTCGTTGGGCTTTCATCTGTGTCGCTGGGGTTACACGACATCTAATACAACCCGGCATGTTGCACAACGCATGCACAATGCTAAGTTTCCCATGGTAAAGTACTCGTAAATCCTTTTTAAATTAGAGTAATTATTACAGCTCACCGAACATTTTCCAATATATGTGAATTTACAGTATGATGTTCACATTATTATTATCACTGAATTAATTTGTCCAATTGCTGTAACGTCTTCAGATACTTACAATACTGACGTCCAATTGAGATTATTTTGCTTTTTTGTTCACCAGGATGTGCAGTGGAATGATCTGGACTATGCAAATAAACGCAGGGTTTTCACATTTGACCCGTGGCGATTTGGAGACCTCCCACAGATGGTTGACGAGTTCCATAAGAGTGGCATGAAATACATCCTTATCCTGGTGTGACATATTTAAGTTTAAATAACTCGCCAACTATTAATGCTGATTTAACTATGAATCAATACTTTAGCACATGCATCAGTTATTTTGATTGTTTTGGTATAGTGAAAATCTCGATATACGCACAAGTAACCATTACTGATTACAGTTATTTTTCAGTAGATGGCAGCAAAACGTTCTTAACTTGTCAGTCATGCGTTTGTTTCCGTCTCAGGACCCTGGGATCAGCAGCAGCAGCCCCCCTGGCACTTACCCACCGTTTGATGATGGGCTGAAAGGAGACGTCTTCATTAAAAATTCTACAGGACAAATCCTGATAGGGAAGGTTAGACTTTTTTCTGGGGATGTATGGTTTTTCTGTCCCATTTTGATGTGTGTATGTCATGCAGATGTATGTATTGTGTATCTAGGTTTGGCCAGGCCCCACAGCCTTCCCCGACTTCACCAACCCAGAGACCGGACGCTGGTGGGAGGACTGCATCAGAGATTTTCATTCTAAAGTTCCTGTGGATGGTCTATGGATTGTGAGTATTTAAAGGGGCCCTAGTATGATTGTTGGGGTTTACCCTTTCCTGTAATGTGTTATATAGGTTTTTGTGTTCGTGTAAATAGTCTGCAAAGGCTAAAATCCCAAAGTTCATGCCAGAGGGAGTTTCTCAACATGTCACAGTAGAGGCACAAAGTATGAATATATACTAGTATAGTAGTATAATATGTCCTCTTTAAACAAAACAGTGCACCGTTTATTTTGCCACAGATACTATCACTTAGACATCAGTTATATCAGGTTTTCTGTTCAGAGGCATCTTGTGGATTGGTTTGTGTGCACCTTAAAATCACATAAAGAAAATAACTTGTATTTCCCCTGTGCTCCGCCCAGGATATGAATGAACCATCCAGTTTTGTGCAGGGCTCAGTGGATGGCTGTCCTGACAGTGACCTTGAGAACCCGCCCTACACACCAAGTAAGTGTATTGGATCAGTGTTACTAGCAGGAAATTAATACAGACTTTATACATTTACATTTAATAATAATAATAATTCATTACATTTTTATTTAGAGCACTTTTCAAGGCATTTGTAGTCAGTTTATACATTGAAGTAGATGTGTAGATATTGTACAAGACACCATCCAAATAACTATAAATGCATAACTGATGGCAGAATATGTTGCATTCATTGTGTGTCTCCCTGACTTTTATACAAACAGGGGTTGTTGGAGGCCAGTTGAACTCGAGAACTATTTGTCTGTCGGCCCAGCAGAAGCTGTCCTCTCACTACAACCTGCACAATATGTACGGACTGACGGAGGCCTCTGCCACTCACAGGTGAGACCATGCAGTGGTGCTGATGCATTTTGACGAGCTAGTTTTGCAGGGAAAGGACAAGGGGACAGAGTCACTGTAACATCACCCATTAGATTGTTGACTACAGTTTCTGAAGCCTCCACCTATCCATGTGGCCGTCTCCATCGTAGTCTTTGAAACCATTATCGACACAAGAGGATGAAGCTGAAAATGAATTTGTTAAGTCATATTTAACTCTCAATAGCTAAAAACACACTGACAGGCTAAAGGTTATAGGACAAAACAACACAAGAACCTTGAGGTAATGGATTTTCAATCACACATTTGCCATCCTCTTTATAATCTAATTACCTCTCATTTACTAAATGTACAACAGTATGAAGTATGTTAATCTTGTATCAGTGTGAAACTAGCTTTTTAAGATTTTTAACTGGTGTTTAATATGTTTCCTGGGGTAATAATTCAAGTGGGTAATTTTATCTCATTGACTTCTTTTTGCAAAGAGAGGCGTTGCCCCCTGCTGGCTATTTAAAGAAATGCAGGTTTAGGGCACAAAACCAATTTTTCCACTTTGTTATTTCTCTTTGAGTTACACAGTACGGGAATAGCAGCAAAAAGGGTAATAATGGCCATTTTATGGAAGACATCTGCTCTAAAAGGACAGTGTTGACACATTTAACAAAAAAGGTAATATCTTGACAAATTGAAAAGATCGTTATTCATGTTTTATCTTTTAGTAGAGCTAAAGCTATAGCTCATTCAAATTCAAACTGCACTTGCATGGTCGCCAGAGTATTTGTTTAGCTTGTTTAAAATGAATAGAAAGACAGCCTTTCTTTGAGAACATGCATATAACAATTGAAAGACATATATTGGAGGTCACCACAGAATATTTAGGCCACGTTTTTCTTTGGCTTTTGTTTTTGGTTCTGTATTCATCCCGGTGATGGTTGCCATCTGCAGCGCTCTCATGAAGGTACGAGGAAAGAGACCCTTCGTCCTGTCTCGCTCCTCCTTCCCTGGCATCGGACGCTTCTCTGGAGTGTGGACAGGAGACGTCCGGAGTGACTGGGAGCAGCTCCGATACTCCATCCCTGGTGAGGACATGTAGCTTTTGAAAAGTCATTCAATTGTGTTGTTACACTGTCACTGATGTAAGCATGCATGTGATTATTTAGTGGGATTTAGGCTGTATGGGGGATCTGTATTTTGTAGACATTATTTTTAAATCTTTTTTGATGGGGGGCGTGTGGCGCAGTGGATAGAGCCTTGGTGTTGGGATCAGGGGGTCACAGGTTCAAACCCCACTGCAGTCAGCATGTCGTTGTGTCCCTGAGACACTTCACCCCAAATTGCTCCTGTGGGGAATGTCCACAGTATTGAGTATGTAAATCGCTTTGGATAAAAGCGTCTAACAAGTAACATGTAATAATAATGTAGTCACGGATTAATTGTTTTTGATTGACCTTTTGAACCTATTCCCCCTCTAGCTGTGCTGCACTTCGGCCTGTTCGGGGTTCCCCTCGTGGGGGCGGACATCTGTGGTTTTGGCGGGAACACCACTGAGGAATTGTGTGTACGCTGGATGCAGCTCGGGGCCTTCTACCCATTTATGAGGAACCACAATGACAAGCCAAACGCTGTGAGACAGAGACACTGCTTTTGTTCGCAGTCTATGTTTATATCTGTTTGTTAACTGGTGTGCTTCATTAATGCATTTTTTTATTTATAGAGCGGTTTTTCTGGAAACAGGACAATTCATAAAAACACCATCAAATCATTAAGTTAACTTTAGTGTACTTTGTTTATGTTAAATGTTTTTAAAGATGTCAGAGTTTGCCTTGAATGTGTTTGCACTGTGTCTAGAGCAGTCCATCAGTTTCATGTATTATGAATAGATGTAACTCTATATCTTCTCATTGTCTGTGTGTTTCTATGTGTCCCCCAGCCTCAGGAGCCCTATGTGTTTGGGCAGAAGGCCCAGGCAGCCATGCGGAGTGCATTGAACCTTCGTTACTCCCTTCTACCTTTCCTCTACACACTCTTCCATCATGCACACACCTCTGCTGACACTGTAGCCAGGCCACTCTTCGTGGAGTATGTGTCTTCTCCTCTGGATTCCCTATTGTCAACATAAGACAACATGGTTCAGTTTCTATAACATTATCTTTCTCTTTCTTCCTTGTCTACCTCCTTAGGTTTCCCACTGACCCTAACTGTCAGACCATAGACCGACAGTTCCTTTGGGGGAGTTCCCTTCTCATCAGCCCAGTCTTAGAGCGGGGGGCAGAAGAGCTGGCTGCTTACCTGCCCCCTGCCACTTGGTACAGCCTGCACAATGTGAGCTCAACTTCAATGCATTTGTTGTTTGTGTACTGTCAAAGACCATGTTTGAGGTTTTCTGTAGTAACACATGACTTAAGTGTTTGCCTTTTTCCTTTCTGGATCGGGTCATTTATTTATTATTTATGGTTTATTTGATAGGAACAGAGACAGACTTTAAACAGGTATCCGATAACATAGTGTTCAGAGAGACTGCTAGTTTGCAACCGTAGAAGGCTTTTTATAAAACTAAAGGATTAGAACAGTGAGGTAAAAAGCAGATTAAAATAAATACTGAGATACTTTCAGCACACTTGAAGAACCTTGCATTTAAAATGACAATTTAAACTTGTTTTAAAATGATTTTACATGGTATGATTTAACAAAACAGTTCTCATTAATATATCCAAGATCTTCCTTATTGTTAGTGTCCTGGTTCATTTTGTGAAAGGAAAGTAACGGTATAATGTTATATTAAATAAAGAAGCGATTATAAAACGTATGGTTTTAGTGTTGTACTACCCTGTCTTTTGCAAGTGTCCTCAGTATTTCAAGCTTTAATTGTATGTGTGTGTTGTGCCCTCTAGGGTCAGCCTTTCTACAGTAAGGGTCAGTACCTGCTCCTGGCAGCCCCCCTGGACACCATCAACGTCCATGTGAGGGAAGGACATATAATCCCCCAGCAGGTGGGTGCCAACATGCAGTTTATTACACATTTTGTGGATGAATTGTTAATAAACCAAGTGGGAAAAAATGAAAACTGATTAAACAAGAGCTTGAATTCCTGTTCATAATTGGCCTTCTCTTTAGCAGAATACAGTTTGAGGCTTATGTAACATACAATAAGATAATTTAATCATTGAACATTTTCATTTTTGTAAAGACAATTGTGAACCCTGTATTCAAACAAGTCACCTTAGACTTTAGGCTGTGACATGGCGCCTATGATCAAATGGCAACTATAACTGTCATGTGTTCTGACTGACTTCCTAAAGCTGAAAACTAGCTGAAACACTTTGGAGAGAAGAGCACATTTTGTTTGTTTGTACTAGCTTTCTTGTTTTCTTTGCTCTGCCTTTTGTTGTGAAGGAGCCTGCTTTGACAACGGCAGCCTCTCGCAGAAACCCTTTCTTCCTGACGGTGGCGCTATCAGCAGGAGGCTGGGCCCAGGGAGACTTGTTCTGGGATGACGGGGACAGTCTCGACACCTTTGAAACGGGAAATTATTGTTACGTTATCTTCATGGCTGGACAGGTAGGAAAGGAACGAGTGGTATTTGCATTGGGAAAGCTGATGAGCAAATAGTTTGCATTTTACTGCATCACTACTTGACACAAAATTGTCTTTACTGAAGGGACTCAACTCAATTCTTGACATTACTTTGATCTAATATACTTAGACTAAAACTACAAAATAATGTCCTTAAAGGTGGGGTAGGTAAGTTTGAGAAACCGGCTCGAGATACACTTTTTGTTATATTCCATGGAACGCTCTTAACATCCCGATAGCAATGAATATCTTAAGTGCTTTGACAATGAATCCATAAAAAAATGTCATCTGTGGAAGCCGTAGTACTGTAAAAAGCACGACCAATCATTTTAGCCGGCCCGGCTAAAATAACTGGATGGCCTACCTGCCTGTCAGCCTTCCATCTGTGCACAAACTTATCTCGTGCCCTCATTGGTCATGTGCGCGTTCGTGTGTGTTGGAGGAGGGGCTCTATAAGGAAGTGGCAGATTTTCTCCGGTTGTGTATTTTCAAATTCTAGCGATCTTGAGCCGGTTTCTCAAACTTACCTACCCTACCTTTAATGTCTTCAGTGTCAGGTGGTGAGTGATCCCCTCAGGCTTAATGGGGCTCTGGATGGTCTGGTTCTTGGAGGGCTGCAGGTTTTCGGGGTTCCCTCCCCACCCCTATACGTGTTAGCCAATGGGGAACAAGTCAGGGATTTCATGTACCGCAGTGACACCAAGGTAAATTATCTGTGACTCCTCCCAATTGACTCATTATGCCTATTGCCTAATGTCTTTTTACCAAATAAAGCTATGTTTTTTCTTTCACTTCCCACAGGTTCTAACAGTGACCAACCTGGCCTTGTCCATGTCAAAGGTGTTTACAGTCCAATGGGCTCTCTGATGCACTGAACTCTATTACCCAAGAACCATAGGGAGCCTTGGCATTGTTCATTGTTGCTGAAATATCAGCTGCATTTTTTTTGCATTGTCCCAACCATCCCAGACCCGGCGATGCACCTTACGCTATGCTACCTCTTTATCCAAGAACTGCTTTGTAAGGAGCAGTTACAGACAAAATGTGACGACATCAATCGTCAAGGGAGCTATCGTTTTGACATTTCATGTTTTCTTCCAAGCCTAAATTTGCTGCTGATAATTGTATGTATTTGTAATATTATGTATATATATTTTTTAATTCTTTAAAAATATATGCCTGCATATACCTGTATTTTTTACATCAGTTTTGTAAACCTTTGTTACTAATAATGCAGATACATAAAAATGAGTCAAGGTGAATTTGAATTTCCCACATCACAAGTTAAAGATGTGATTGATGGATTGTTTTTATCTGTTAATTTATGGCAAACATTTTCTTCAATGTATGCTGTTTGATCATACCCTGCAAGCACATCAAAACCAGCCTGTTTGTGTTCTTTTTCAGAGGACTTTGTAGCCAGAGCTCTGGTAGAGCAGTCGATGAGCATGGAGCCCCAAAGGAGGCCTTCAGCTGAGAGCGTTCTCAAACACCCTTTCTTCTGGAGCCTGGAGAAGGAGCTACAGTTTTTTTTTTCAGGTCAGCTGTTTATATATCTTCCTCTGCTTACTGTAAAAAACACTTAAAGGCTGATTAATGTGGGTACTGTGCTACTACAAACTAATCTGTACACACACTCCTCTCAGGTTACTTTGTATTTGTGTAAATCCTCATTTCTGTTGTGCTGGTCGGGATTCACCATTGTTAAACTTCTTCATACCTAAAGGCAACGTACATGCTGGCTATTTCAATATCATTTGGACAGTAATCTTAGGTTGTCTCTATTCTTCACATATTTACCTTACATATTAGAATGGTTGGAATTCCTCTAAAGCCATATCTAAACCTGTGGAACTTAATTGATATGCTATATAATAGATTTGAGGTCTTTATACAGAATAAGAATGTCTGGCATGCTGACACTTTTTTGGTTGTGACAGCTTGCAGGATGTGAGCGACAGAATAGAAAAGGAACTGCTGGACGGGCCAATCGTGAGACAGCTGGAGAGAGCACATCACAGTGCCACTGCAGACAGGTATGAAACTGGCTGAAATGTAAACATGTCAAATTCAAGCTCCTGGTACCCCCCTTTTTAAAATAATGTTTGATATGTTGCTTAAATGTAGGGTTTCGGTTGAGCACATATGAAGTATTTCAGATTAAAGCTAGTTTTGCATTGACATGGTATACTTTCAGAGTGGCACTGAATGCAATATCCTGTCACCAGAAAATGTTGCATTGCTCGCTAAACTGAGCTTGCTACTTCAGAATCGTCACCTGCTGAAAACCACAACCTCAACTGGTTCTCTTTGGACTTTGCACTCAGTTGACAAATGGCACTGATAGTCATGAATTGAGCGGGCATTTTTGATCAAAATACAGAGTAATGTGAGGTCATAATATATTAAATTCCATCTTATAACAACAGAAGATCAAATTATACTCGTGTTTTTCTATATTTACAAGCAACTACCTTTTAATATCTAATTGTTTTATACTTGGCAAACTTTTTTTGACTGTTATACAACCCTTAAAGTCTTTCACTTGAAGTAATTCAGACACCAGGGGCCAGATCAGTTTGGCTAATTCAGGATAAAGTAAGAAGACAGTTGTATCATCTCACTGTTTATCGATTCCTTGTTGAATGATTTTCCTTTTGTCTATCTCTTCCTTTGGCAGATCCGCGGAAATTTCGTTCCTATAAGGGAGGCTCGGTCAGAGACCTGATGCGTGCAATGAGAAACAAGGTAGGAATGTGTTGAAGTGTTTTCTACTCAGGTCTTACAGTACAAATCTGTTTCTAACACTCAACCTTCTTCCTTCTTCAGAAACATCATTACCGGGAGTTGCCTGCTGAGGTTCAGGAGACGCTGGGCTCCATCCCTGATGACTTTGTCTCCTACTTCACCCCCCGGTTCCCCCACCTGCTAATGCACACATACCTGGCCATGCGGACCTGTGCGTCTGAGAGGCCATTCCTGCCTTACTACTCCACTGCAGATCAGCTTGCAAAAACACAGACCCTGCACACACACCTCGGGCCCCAAAGACAAAAAGAGCCATGTACTCAACCCTTGACTACACACACATCTCCCCCCTCTTCACAACCACAGGAACCTACACATTCGTCACAGACAGCGCAGGTCCCTCACACAGATCCTGCTGAATCAGCGCCCTCTTCTTTACCCGATGAGCCTGTAGCTTCACATTTGCCAGTTGAGACAGTGGAGCCAGCTCTGTCCACACAGACTGACCTGCAGAGTCCAACCGTGAACCCCACACCTGCCTCAGAATCACCAACAGATCCTCTCGTGCTAGAACAATCCATTCAGTCTGAGGTGCACGCCCTGCCAGGTCCTTTGATACTGGGTAATGAATCAGTGTGAGGTGGAGCCAGCACAAACAGGAGCATTGCCTTCAAGAGTGAACACCAAGTTGGGCTCAGCTGCTGCAGTATGAGCTGGTGAGGACCAGGCCTGCAGTGCCTGCGATCCACCGCTGGGTGCAGCAGCTGTTCCCTTAATAAGTGCCTTCTGCTCACCTGGGTTAAAATGTCGCCTAACAGAACCGTCCACTTGTTGTTGTTGTTCCTGCTTCGAGGAAGTCAGATAAGAATCAGGGTGATGCAGGACCTTATATTGTAGCTGGACTGAGCAAAGAGATATTTTTTATTTTCTATAAAGCATTTCCAAAAAAATGGTGTTTGTCCCTAAAAATATCTGGCCTCTATTGTGGGAAACATGTCTGGATGTTGTTGGATAGTTTTATAGTGCAATGTCGTATTTCTGAGTGAGCCTCTTCACTGCACAGATACTGTATGTGTATTTTTGTATAGACGGTTCAGAATTTGGATGATGATAATTAATTATGTAATGTGGCCGATGTGCCTTTTTTTCCTTTTTTTAAATATCACTGTGCTGTGTACAGATCTTAAAAAATGACTATGCTAAGTGTGCTTGATTCCAGTTAATGCTGCTAGACTGCTTCTCTTTTGTCAATCAAGAATTAATGTGCTGACTCAACAGAGGCCTGCTCCAAATGGTGTTCAGGGTGGCACCTGAATACAGTGGGTAATGAGATTATGTAGTCATAAAAGAGTTTAGCTGTCAGGCAGCAGAGCTCGCTTAAAATAACTTTTCAAGGTTTTTAAAGTGAAGTTAATAACTTGCACATTAAAACGTTTTTTTTATTCTAAGATTTGTTTGTGGATTAATTTTACTGCAAGTCAAGAGGGGGATTGGGAAATGTGGGATAATTAACTACCGTTGGTTCCTAAAAACAACTATTTATATTCAACAGATGTTTTTATTTACAGCTGCCCTGAGCAGTTTATGGTGTATTTACTGAATTGTCTGAGTGAGCTGTTGCTACAGTTAACATTGTTGGAGAAACCTATAGTGTAAGCTTTCTCTCCATCTGTTTATCGAACGGCCAAACCCACGGCAGGAATTTTAATGCGAAGTGCAAACAAATAAAAAAGGTCACTGGCAGAAAGGAGTGGCATCGAACAAAGGGCAGTACAGAGCCATTGTGTGAAGCACTGCTCTCTTCAAGTCACTCACCAACATACATATTTATAATTATAAAACCAGGCTCCCATATAATAGCAAGGGAAGTGTTACTGCGCTACATTATATGCGCAAATGTTGGGTTAATCTGTATGTGTCTGACTGTATGGTATCCAATGGACAGGGTGTGTGTATGCATGTCCCATGCAGTCTGCTATTTTCTAATTTCCCGAAAAACGAAACTTGGTGATCTGCGCAGGCGCAGTGGGTGCAGCCCAGCAGAATATAAATAGAGCTTGAGTGAGGTGTTAACAGTCCTACTTGAAACATCGTCTGAACATTTTTCACTGAGAAAAAGGACAGCGGCCGATTGCTTTTCTGTGGGCTATTCATCCGAGGTAAGAACAATGCACCCCCTTTTATTACTTTGTATATCATATGGCAGCCTCTGCCACTGTTTGAATGTGTGAATGTTCATAATGTAACGTCCGAGGTGTTAAGGCTTCAAGAATACTTCTGTGTAACAAAAACTCAGGAACTTAGTACTTTTTGGAGCGTCAAAGATGCCTCCGTTTATTTTTCGTCGAGTCACACCACTCTAGCACCGACTGCGCATGCTCACAACACATGACCTCTCAACCCAATGCTTACATGCGTCCCCCCTTACTGAAAGAAATGTCCCCATTTCCACACACATGGTGAGAACACAACAAAACATAAAAAACAATACAACCACGAAAAACCCCAAAAACATAACAAACCACACACTTCCCCGCAGAATAATACATGCAGGCATGACGCACATTCGAAAAAAAAATCTTTGAATAAAAACAATGACAAACAAAACACATCCACAGACAAATAAAACATCAAACTAGGTATGACATAACCTATTCCCCTGTCCTGCACACTCGAAACATGAAAAAAAACCAATTATGCAGCATAGAATACACAGGAGAAAATAATCACACAAGCACGTAAACACCAGTCATTCAGCCCATAACAAAGTCCAAAAATCGGACAGGAGGCCGCGCTAACCTCCCAGCCCGGGACACCGTCGGTGCGGCTTGTTCGAGCTCAGGGGAATCACCAGCCCCAGAACCCGGCCCAAGATCACAGCCACTTTCCCCATCGGAAAACCTCACGCGTCCAGAGCTCTGTGGGGAGACTGCATCTTGCAACGGAAGAGGCTGAGAAAGGTGTAATGCCGCAGTTCCACTACACGGTCGGCCTCGGCCACGCTCGGTACGGCTCGGTACGGCTTGGCCGCGTTGGGCCGACTCACTTCATGCTGCGCTTCCATTACAGTTTAGGAACTGGGGTAGTTACTATAGTAACGCAGTGTAGGCGGAGCCGTGACGTCATCTTCAGAGAACTCCAGAAAACACAACACAGCCGTTAGCTGTTAGCACTCAGAGCTCACAGCTCCTTATATATGTTCAGAAACTCGACAAAAGTTAAACAAGTACACACCACAGACTGCCTGTGTCATGGTGAATACAGTCGCTGCTTTATTTATGTCTGTATAGGCCGTTGTTGTGAGTGTGGACGGTCGGAGCATATACTGCGTTAGCTTAGCCAATCTCCATCTAGAAAAACACGAATTTTAAAAGGTTTTTCGCCTGCCGTCTGTCTGCAGACTTGACAAAGCATTAATTCATGGTTTTTACTAACCGGTATCAGTATGTTGTTACTTCGGCATCATTTTGAAACGTGTATTACAATTAAATCACGGTCAAATATGTCCATCTTGTTGTAGTTCTAGCCCTCTTGCCAGCGCTCCTCTCTCTAGTTTAGCATACTCAGCCCGACTCAGCCCTGTTTGTTGGCCCCGATAGAACCACAATTTTGTCGGGCCAGAAAAGAGGTGAAAAAGTGGGCCCGGGCCGGGCCGGGCCGTAACTAGGCCTAGTGGAAGCGCAACCAAAAACGGGTACGGCACGACACGGCACGCTTAAAGCGAGCTCCGCGCTGTAGTGGAACTGCGCCATAAGAGAGACCTTGATGGTCCCTCAAAGGGAAAGGCTACCGGCAGGTTGTATCGCTGTAGTCTGTCGTAATGGACAGTTTGGAGAGAGGCTTCATCCCCAAACGGGCTACTTAGTTGGTACGTGACCCCCACTTCATCACCCCTATCCATTCGCCTCTGCACCAGATAAGGCCCCTTCCAGTGGGGAGCCAGCTTACGGCGGCTCTCAGTGGGATCATTTAACCACACCAAATCCCCGACTTCATACGTGTCATGCCTCACTCTGGCGTCATAGTACGACTTCTGTTTGCTGCTTGCAGCAAAATTGTTATCCCTTGTCTGATCAAACGCCGTGTCCAAGCGTCTGAGAAGGGAACCAGCAAAGTCTTCCCGGGGACCCTGCACCAGATCATCCCGCTTTGGACCCAGTAAAACATCCACAGGAGTCCTGGCCTCCCTGCCATGCGTGAGAAAATACGGCGTGAAGCCTGTGCTGGAATGTACACTGGTATTGTATGCAAATGCAACTCCAGTATGTCAGCCGCCACCCGCTGGAAAGGTCTAACTGCATGTGAAGTTCTCATGGGGGCATGGTGTTTAGGCACCGGGGACTTCCTTCTCTGACAGGCATAACATTGGTCACACCACGAACGAACGCAGCTAGAGCGCCGGTGAAGATGGCCGCATCGTCTATGTGCTCCTCTCCAACTTTGCCCATTTTCGTATTTTGTACATATTTTTTTTACTTTTGCCGTTTTACTTTTAACATGGTTCGCAACATGCTAGCCGACCGCACCTACTCTGCCATACAATATAGCAGAGAGGAGCTTCTCCAATTGCGAAACTTCGTGGACAATAATAACCCTCCGACAAACAATGGAGATTCACCATGGCTACCTGTTGCTGTTCTACCTGAGAGACGCAAGAAGAGGACAAAGCGCGGATGCCAGGCCGGGTTGCTGGTCAGACTGAGGAAACGAGAGAATCGGCCCCCTCTTCCGAGTATTCTTCTGGCTAATGTTCAATCCATTGAAAATAAGCTAGATGAACTCAGAAGCCGGATTGCTTTTCAACGGGACATTAAAAACTGTAACGTGTTAATTCTCACTGAGACTTGGCTCAACCCCGCTATCCCGGACTCCGCCATTGTCCCTGATGGATTCTCTATTTTTCGTCAGGACCGGACTGCAAACTCGGGGAAAAGTAAGGGAGGCGGTGTGTGTGTAATGACTAACAACAACTGGTGCTCAGATGTGAAGATTATTTCATCGGACTGTTCCGCACAGCTAGAGCACCTCATGATCTCATGATCTCATCTGTTGTGATAACAGCAGTGTATATCCCGCCGCAGCCACTCGCCGACAACAACACGGCACTCGATCAGCTGTTTGGGATTATTGATAAAACCGAGACTTCACGGCCAGATGCGGCGTTCGTTGTGGCCGGAGATTTCAACACCGCCAACATGAAGAAGGTTTTGCCAAAATATTACCAACACATCAACTTCCCGACGCGCGGGGGAAACATACTGGACCATGTTTATTCCCCTTTCCGGAATGGATATAAGGCTCTCCCTCGCCCTCCCTTCGGCAAATCAGACCATATCTCACTACTGTTGTTGCCTGCGTACAAGCAGAAACTTAAAAGGGACAGACCGATTACAAGAACAGTACAACGATGGAGCGAGGAGTCAGATGAGGCACTGCAGGATTGCTTTGCATCCACGGATTGGAGTGTGTTTGAGGACAATAACATCAACACACACACGGACACTGTCATCTGCTACATTGGGAAATGCATCGATGACGTGGTACCGAAGGTTTCTGTACGGACATTCCCAAATCAAAAGCCCTGGGTAAACGGTGAGGTGCGCGGCAAACTGAAAGCGCGCACTATCGCGCACACAGCGGGAGATTTGGAGGAGTACAGGAAGTCTAGGTATGATCTCCGGAGAGCAATTAAAAATGCAAAGAGACAGTACAAAGACAAGGTGGAATCTGACTTCAAAGGCTGTAACACTAGGAATATGTGGGCGGGACTAAGGACAATGACTGACTACAAAGGAGCAGCGGGGGGGTGCTGCGGGAGTGTCTGCGTGCGCATCTCTCCCAGATGAGCTAAACAGTTTTTTTGCACGCTTTGAGAGCAGCCGGGCTGTGGAGGTACAGAGGGACCAGGAGCTACACTGCCCTTTTGTTTTAAATAGGGCAGATGTGTGTAAATCCTTTAAAAGGGTTAACCCACACAAGGCTCCTGGACCTGATGGCATCCCTGGCCGTGTTCTCAGGGTGTGTGCAGTTCAGCTGGCAGAGGTGTTCACAGACATCTTCAACAGGTCCCTGCTGCAGTCTGTAGTCCCCACATGTTTTAAACACTCCACCATCATTCCTGTCCCCAAAAAGACAAAAATCACCTGCCCCAACGACTATCGCCCAGTAGCACTCACCTCCATCATAATGAAGTGCTTTGAGCGGTTAGTCAAATTATTCATCACCTCCTCCCTCCCTGAATCTCTGGACCCCCTGCAGTTTGCCTACAGAGCAAACAGGTCCACAGACGACGCCATAGCCCTCACCCTCCACACTGCCCTCTCACACCTGGACCCGAAGAACAGGAACACATATGTGAGAATGCTGTTCATTGACTACAGTTCAGCATTCAATACCATTGTGCCCTCCAAGCTGGCCATCAAGCTCAGAGATCTCGGGCTCAACAGCG